CTTTGGCGTAATACAGCTTTCACCGTTACTCTACCTTGTGGTATCTATAGCGTAGATGACTGAGAGTTTGAAACACCGTAGTGTAGAAACTGCTTATGACATTTTTACACGCGTAGCTGTGTAATTCTATCATTCTTTGGGAGCAATGTTTCAATCCCTTGGTCAAGTTTGATTGTTGTAGTCTTCCTTTACAGCGCAAGATACCTTTTTCATCCTCATACAGGTTTAGCTGACTTTGTAAGTTACTTTGTTTTTTGAATGCATTGACGTAAATATATCAGCGTAAAGATTCCGTTGCACATAAATTATCCAAGTATGCTCCGCCGCTTCACTGAATTCAGTACATGTAAGGGAACCACTTTTTGTAAATTTTATTTTCTTCAGTTTCAATATGAGACGCAATGCTAATGCCGTCACACGAAACAACTTCGTGATAGATGAATACTTTGTGCAGTCAATGCCAAAGTTGGTTGAATTCGTTATAATTGACACTTTTCCTTCTTTTATTAAATGTGTTGTTTTACACTTCATTCTGATACAGATTGACAGGTCTTGTTCACTATATCAGTTTCACTTTAAAACTGTTATGTGGCCATTTATCTTCACATTCGCCGAGCCACTCTGGTCCATGCCACCGAAGTGTATTGTTTTTATTCAGATCTGCACCATCTGCAAGATTTTCCGTAGACTTTACATACCCAAATGCAATATCAATTTCTTGATTAATTTCACGGACCCTGTATTTTACAAACACTGGTTGTTTCTTTTCTGAACTCATTCTTTAAGAACACACTGTGAATCATTGAAGAGATACTTTTGTTTGATTGCTAGCCTAATCTGTGTCTGCACGAATTTCATACACCTGACACCTATTAGTTCTCCCATTAGCTCCAATCTTGGAATTGTGATACTCTTCATAGGTGCTAAACGTAATGTAGCAAATATAAACTACGTTTCTTTTGAACTATTATTCTTGTGTATGTAAATTACACAAGAATATGCTTTTTCTGAAGCATCACAAAAGCAAACCAAATTTGTTGTTTCAGATTGGATGCCATTCTCTGGTGAAAAACATCTTGGAATATGGATGTTAAATATGTTTTCCAAATCTGTTTCTATTGCATTCCACTCACTTTTTATGTCATCTGAAACCTCTCTATCCCAGCTGATTCCTTTACTCAAAAGACGTTGGCTAAGTAGTTTGCCTCTGAACAAGACTTGTTAAAATAATCCTAACGGATCGTAGTGCACTGCCATTTATTTCAATACACTTCTTTAAGTAGTTGTTTCATCAGATAGGTTTTGAAGACATGGTATCTTGTTGTTGATCCCAACACATTCCAAGAATTGTTAATGAATTAACTTCAGCTTTGTCTTCTTTGGGTATGTAAGCGTTGATAATATCACTATTTGATGCCGATTCTTGGAGATTCATAGATGCCGTTCTGAATATTTCCTTTGCTCCGTTGTAGAACGGAATGCCTTCAAAAACAGTATCTGTACCCGTTATCAAGTTATTAATGTTTATGGTAATTATTACTTTCTCTGCAATGTCGTTGTTGTACAACTCTAGATGACACTGAATTGTCGCTCCAAGTAGGAGTTGACTAGCCATAATACCAAAAGGTACTCTACAAAATCTGTATTCCTGTATATTTGTTAAAATGAAAACTGTTTTAACCACAGAAAGCGAGTGACGTCCCTCTGGTCGTTTTGTAGGCCTATTTGCGAGAAGGCCTTTTCAATGTCAACTACTTTGGCACTTCTGTGTATCTTGAATCTAATTAATATCTAACATACATGTCAGCGATACACGTTTGAACTCGTTTAAAGTTAGATTCTATTTGTTAGTTTCAGCTGAGGCAACGTACACTATCCTGAGTTTTGTGGTCTTTTTCTGTGGAGTAATAACTGGTTGATGCGGGAGGTAGTAAACGAACTAGAGAAAAAATGAATCCCCAAAGAAAGCAAGCCAAAAACGACAAAACTGAAAATTCTGCAGGCTCGGTTTGACTGAGTCTGTTCATGGACGGAACTGAAAAGTGCAAACTACCGCCCACGCCCCCTAGCACCGGCTTAAGCAGAATTCAACAATTGAACTTGAAATAGTAAAAGTTTTGAATTTAGAAACATCCGCAGTTGTGTTCATACGGCGGTTATCATGGAACCTTCAATGTGACACTTCCGTGCCATTCTATGAAAAGAGGCGAATTGTCCTCAAGTAATAGAAAGCGTTTGCCATTAACGAGAACACAATTGGCGGAACTAAATAAAATGAAATTTTGAAAGGGGATCATAAGTTATAAAGCCTAGCACAGATAAGTCGTCAAAATACAAGTTTTAAAAAGCAGGCAACAAATCCTTAGGGTGATTAAACATTATTAAAGTAGGAATATTGGAACCACCCAGCAAGAAAATACCGAAAGGTTAAAACTAAAAATACCACAAACACAACAATAATGTCGTGCTGAACGATCTTTAAGGATTGTTAATATAACATCTCTGTTTGAATGTACGGGTCGGCTTTCCACAGCCTCCACACGGCACAAACAACGCTGATGTGGCGATAAAATAGAGAAAATAAGAATTCCCAAAGAAAGCCCAACACGACAAAACTTAAAACGATGCAGGCTCAGTTTGATTGAGCCTGTTCATGTACGGTACTGTAAAGTGCAAACTACCATCATCGCCCCCTAGTACCATCTTGCTGCTTGTAATCAACCTTTTCTATGATGCCCTGGTTAGGTTGATCGTCTAGTACTTTGTTGTATTTTTCCATTAACTCAGATTTATCAGTCAAACAAGAAACAGCTGGCTTTAGTCGACCCATGGTAAGTTGTCTGTTGACTGGTAGGTCAAACTCTTCTTCATGCCCGGGTCATGTAACCTGATAACGATCATTTTGAAATGTTAATGTGTCTCTGAACTTTTTCATTGCTACCTCGTCATTGGTAGCTTCTATTTCATCTCTTATACCAATTGTCTCAAGGTTCAAGAAATCTTGTAACTCGAGCTCCGTTTTCATTGATGGATCCAAACTTGTAAACACATTGTTTCCTGAAACATCGTTTGCATAAGTCAATGTCCTATTTATTTCATTAATTTGCTTAAGCTTTTACAATTCTCTTTGTTAACGGTTTAGAAACGGTGGCGACGTAAAAAATACTCATAAGAAGATTATACGTTTAATCTTCGCCATATTTTACACTTTCTTGACTCCGAACAAGCCCTAAAGCAAGTAATTTTCATAAGTGCACACGAAGTCGTACCCATGAAATTATAAAACATTATAGCCTTACATTGTTGCTGAGGGAATTTTATATAAACACTAACAGAATATGCATATCTAGCTACTATTTAATGAAATCGGTGACATATTGCGGTTTTGAAATGTTAAAAACTTATATTGAAACGATATTTTATTTAAAACGTTTCTATTTTGCGTGCTTAAACGTGTTTCGTTTAGATTATATCGTTCAGAGTATATCGTTCAGCGTATATCGTTTTGTGTGCGTCTGCGTATGTGGGTAACGTTTGTTCGTGAAGCGTGTAACGCGCATGAGATTTTTCCACAGCGTGCGTTTTGCGTGTTAACAGAAACGTTTACCCTACACCATCATATTTGAAATGCATTTTCAGGGGGAGATAATAATGAAATACATTATTTCTCTCGCTTGACTTTATTTTATATTAAACTGGAAGTATTTGTTGACTATATAGGGCAGGTAAGTCTGAGCAAGTTTGCAGCATATTGCCCCCCTTATTCTTTGGTGCTTATATTTTTCTGTCCAGCGTTGAGAAAATTGGAGCGGTCTGAGTACATGCTTTCTTGTATTTAAGGTGGCAATTATTTGACAAAGTGTATTATACTAGTAATACGTCTGCTGCTATTACCAAATAAATACCTAAGTTTACAATTCTACTGGACAATTGTGTACGAAAACGGCGTGTGTATAAAATGAATGGATAAAATTGATAAATTTGTAAGGACAAAATATAACTTTAAAATATACATACAAGAAAGTCATAGCGATATAATGGGACCTTCCATTGACAAATTCAATAATGTTTTCAAACTTAAAACATAAAATCATTAAGTTGTACAATGTTTATACATAATTGAATCATTCAAAAGAGCTAAATATAAAGAATAACCAAAATTGCAAGAGATTGGCTTCAAAAACTGTATAAAATTGTTATCATTTAAAGCTCGAATGATAATTTTTAAAGTGTAAAGAGAATATGATTGTCGACTCTACCCTATGTTAAGCTGGAAATCGTTGTTAGAAGTAAAAACACATTGTAGGAAGCTTTTTTCCGGAAAATGCAGTTTTTATAGCAGGACAAACGACATAAATAATGTATTGCATGTGAATCCTATAGTAAATGAACGTAGCATTTTCGAAATCAGTATTTTTACATATTTACCTTCCTATCTCAAGCGGACCATGGTGTATATACGGTTCTATTCAATTGTAAAACTAGGCACATCAAACACAATGATTTGTAAGCAAATAGTTGATGTGCATATAACTCTCATATATGCCTTTTGCTTTACAGTTGAAAAACAACACAATACATAAAAGCCGGGGAGACAAAGTGTCACTTCTTGAGAACAGGAATAAGGCGTTAACCGAACTTGACGAAAGTACAGCAGAATTGCGTAAACATGATGAGAAATCATTAACTGTACGGGATAAATCAAAACTAGATGTTGATGAATTTAAGGATACCACCTTAGCTATTTGTGAAAACACTGGCCTAATTTTAAAGCAAAAACTAACTGTCGGGAAAAGGGTTGCCATATCTTACATTTCATCAGAGACACAGGGAATGCAAGACACTGGTATATCCGGAAAAAATGATGCTACATCCGAAAAAGATGACTATATATCTGAAATAAACAATGTCGAGAAAATGGCATTAAAAGACATATCCGAAGCACAAAACGATATTGAAAGCCAGACAAGTGAAGGTATCTCTCATATTTGTAGGATAACCGAAGATGCTTTATCTAATATCACTAATGCTAGTACAAAAGCAATATCAGATTTTCAAAAATGGGCTTCTGCTGCTAGCAAACCTTCAATTTCAAAGTTACCGATAAAGGTTCGTTTTTAACTTTTCGCATATACTTATATAACTTACTCAGTCATCTGCATTGTCTATGTGTAGCAATAGCTTCCAGTTACTCTTTTATTTGCCTGTCTTTGTTTGTTTATTTCATTTTGTTGGGTTATACGTCCTACCAAAACAGTAGAGGTAATATAGTGACTTTCCAACTGTAATGGTGGAGGAAGACGGAGAAAGGCGTGGCGGAGGAAGACGTCAGGTGCCCCTACGTGCATTATTTCAGGAACGAACGGGCACTTGAGTAGAACCACCAACGTTCTGAAAGCTATCAAAAATTCCAGAGTCCGTGAGGGACCATTAGTTATAAGTCAACGACCTTGAAACGTGTTGTCGAACTTCAGTTAGAAATGTATCAATCATTTATGGGCGTTATATATGTGTTCTCATTCTAGAAATAACATAGGTAGAACCAAAACACATTTTGCGCCTTTTAGAAAAAATATTATTATGAAGTTTTTATTCCCAAAAATATAGTAATTTATAAGTCAAGATTCGTGATAAATACATTGTCAAGAAACATCGGAAGTGGCTAAACTGGAGACCATCAGAGTCACCAGATTTCTTGTTAATGATATCTTCAGCTCTACACCATGCTGACTGATTTTGTTGTTCTACGTTTTTCATTGTGAGTTGCCGAATTTTAATCGCTTCGAGTATATGAAGGACTTTATAACAAAATTATAAGATATTCAATGATTTAAATAACAAAATTAGTTTATTTTGTCTTTAATTTGTATACTTATGTACAAAAATGTTGCAATACCAGTTTATGCCTAACTTCGTGAATGCTATGTTCACAACTATAGAAGTAGTGTTAAGCACATAAACCAGGTCTTCAGGTCAAAGGTCAAGGTCACACTTAGAGGACATTGAAAAACGCTTGTCCGGAGCAAAACTTCTACATGCATGGAAATATTTCAATATAACCGAACTTCTCAATTACAAATGTTAACTAAAGTGAAGTGGTATGTCGCGTGCAAAAAAAGGTCCCTGTGGCCAAGTCAAGGTCACATATAAGGGTCAAAGTTTAAAGGGTCAAAGATATGAAAATGTTTATTCGGACCATTTAGTCATCATTTATTTAGGGAATGAAGCACAAATGGCCATTATCATGAATGCAGGTCTGAAATATGTAATTTAGATTAATATATGCTAGGTCAAGTTCACTAAAGATGATAAAATATAGAGATTTTATCCAGAGCATTTCTCCAGCATAATTATTGGACTTTTAATGAAACTCATATGTTCACCACTATGAAAAGCATTGCAATGCGCATTAACCAGTTCTCTAGATTAAAAGTTAAGGTCACGCTTAGAGGTTATTGAAAAATGCTTGTTCGGAGCAAAACTTCTACATTCATCGGGGGGGGGGGGGTGTTAATGTAACTTTGCACAAATGTTCACCATTATTCAGGTCCCTGCTACCAAACTCAAGGTGACATAGAGTGGTCAAAGTTAAGGGAAAACAGAAGATGTGTACGGGACCATTTAGTCATCATTTATTGATGGATTGTAACACAAATCATAACTATCATGGCTAAAAGTGTGACACGTGTATTTAAGGTTAATATTTGCAAGATCAAGGTCACTAGAGATGATAAAATTTACAGATATTGTCCGGATATTGCCTAGATAATATCTTCTATATGCATTTCTATAATACTCACATCTCTGTCAAAACCTTTATAAGGGGCGTTTTTTGCTTTGCATTTGTCTGTTTGTCGGTTGGTAGGTTGGTCGGTCTGTCGGTCCGTCGACCAAATGGTTTCTTATCAATAACTAAAGAACGCTTGGGTATAGGAACTTCAAAATTGGAAATGACATTGGTCATGACCAGTAAATAACCCCTATTGATTTTGTGTTTAAAGGGGTCAAAGATCAAGGTCACATGACGTCGTAGGTAAAAACGGGTTTCGATTAAAAACTTGACAAGCCATTGGATGTTCGCCTGCAAACTTCGAGGGTGCGTTGGTCTTGGCAAGTAAATGGCAAGTAAATGGCCCTATTGAATCTGGGGTCAAAGGGTCAAAAGTCAAGGTCATATTGACCTTGTAGGTAATAACAGTCTCCGATCAATAACTTGAGAACCAACTGACTGTTGACCCTTAAACTTCTTAGGTGCATTGGTCTTGGAAAGTAGGTGACCCTTTTATTTTAGGGTCAAGGTGTCAAAGGTCAAGGTCAATTGACCTTGTAGGTAAAAACGGATTGACCTTGTATGTTAAAATAGTTTCAACAGTTATCAATGGACAACCAATGAACCTTTGACCACCAAACTTCACAAATGCATTGCTTTTGATCAGAGTTTGACCTCAATGGATTTTTGAGGTCGGAGGTCAAGATCACATTGACCTTATAGGTAAAAACGGTTTCTGATCAATATCTCGACCTTTACCTTCAACCTTCACAGGTGCATTGGTCTTTGCCTGGAGATAACCCCTATTGATTTAAGAGTCAAATGTTAAAGTCACATTGACCTTTAACGTAAACATGTTTTCGGACAAATAACACAACACCTGAAGTTGCCTTGGTTAATATTTTTTATTCAACTAAAATTTTCTTGGTATACACATTTCAAAGTCTAATGTAATATATCAAATTGTTTTAAAAAGGCCTACAGGATTAATAAATTTTCTGCATTAATATTTGGTAAGATTTGTGATAACTTTGTCGTAAAATTGCTGCACACAACCTTTATGGTTCCAATGATCCAGTGACTTGTCATGGCCAGTAGATAACCTCTATTGATTGTTTGGTCACTTAGTCAAAAGTCAGTCACATTTACCTAGCCACATGGCCGATAGTGGTCTTTCACGTTTTACATATCTTGTTAACCTTTTGAGATATCTATTTCATAGGTTGTTAAATCTTATTCATGAAAAATACATTTCTACTTTAATATTTTCTAGCTACTGTCCTTTGTTATTTTTTTTTATAATAAATGTTTGTCCGGAGCATGTCTTGAAAGTATATCAGTTTAAAAATTCAAATGAAACTCACCTTTTCATGTTTGTTTTATATTCTTAATCATTGGTCTATGCTATTTTAAGGCTAAATTTTTGTCAAGAACAAAACCCGAACATTTTCCCCGGGATATAGTAATTAATTCGTCCGTCTGTCTGTCTGTAAGGGTTAACCTTAACCTGCAAGTTTGATATATCATAACAGTACCAATGGTTTCTTGCCTTTTACACTTTTCTATACAAAGTACATGATCTTGCCAAGTTTTTTAAGTATTGCTTTCATTTTTCGAAAATGGATATGGTTAACCGTAACCGGCAAGTTGGACATATCTTAAGTTTTACTGAATTAATGACTTCATAGTTTACAAGTTTGAATATCAATACAAAGGAAAAGCTTTTGCCAAGTTATATAATTGTGCCATTCATTTTCCCCAGTTATTTCCCCTTTTATAAAATAATGACCAGGTATTGATAGCCTATTCCGGCAAGTTGTATTTATCTTAAAAGTCTCGTTGTAAGATCATTAGTTTAATATGATATCTCCCATATTTGGAATTGAAATTGGCTTTAAGTGAAGCTTTAAATACAATGTAACTTGAATCAAGTTCAAGGTCACGGGTGTAAAGAATAAAATGTAAACAAATGGTCCCTTAGTTTAGATGGATGTTGGGGACTGAGTTCAAAGTCATAGTCTTGCATTTATACATATTTGATTAACTTTGATTTGTAAGTTTAATATTTTTAAATAGCAAGGAAATTCCACTTAACGAAATATCACGACCTTCTCAAGTTATATATCTCCCTACAATATTTTAGCAGGTTCAGTCCATAACGAAGTGAATGGGAAATTAAAAAAAATGTTTTTGACGAGAATATTGGCCGGATATATCATTTTCAATGAATAAATACTAATTGCTTTACAATTTGAAAAAAACAACACTAAAATGTTTCATTAACAACCATTCTAAATATCTTAATTTTATCTCTTATTCTTTCCACAGGGGTTGCCAAGTGGATCAAGGAAAGTTTCAGGTAAATGAAGACTTCTTTTCTCCTTAGATTTTCCTCTTAAGTTAAGAAATAGTGTGCCCCACTCTAGGTGGGTGCATCAAGATTTGCCCAAGTCTGTCCGTCCATGCATCCCACCCTCATGTGTCAAAACTATAAAAAGTCATGAAACTTTACAGAAATGTTGATCAGCATGTGAAGTTGTGTACCTAGGGTTTCGCGTTTGGATTAATCTCGCTTTGTCCTTGACAATTTTCAACTTAGGTCGCCCGTAGCCAAACAATAATAGATTTGAAGTCACGAATCTTATAGAAATGTTGGTCAGCATGTGAAGCTCTGCACATTGGAATTCGTGTGTCGATTCATTTCAGTACTTTTGGAGTTATTGCCCCTGACTTAGTTAAAATTTGCAATCATCAACTATTTTTCTTTCGTAGCCTTAAAAGTATTATACCAGAGTCATGAAACTTTACAGAAATGTATCAGCATATGTTGTTGTGCATCTGGGGTTTCACCTGTTGATTTTATCAACATTTGTAGAGTTTTTTGCCATTGAGTAGAATATTTCAAGGTTCAACTTGTGACGTACGTAGGGAAAAGTACTTGACAAAAAGTCATGGAACTTTAGAGAAATGTTGGTCAACATTTGAGATTGTGCACCTGGGTTTTTGCGCGAGGATATATTAATTATTTTGTCGAATTTTCCATCATTGAGTGAGTAAAAATTTGTATCATGTGTACCTCTAAATGTGCTTGAGCCAGATTCAACAAACTTTGTTTCCGGTTTTATTTTACATGAATAATGATCAGCATGTGAAGCTACGCATTCAGTCTTCTCTCTTCCCCTCGGTACGTGTACGTCGTTGAGAGGACACATTGCATTGATAGATGATTGAAGAACCAATGCTAGTGTAAGACGGCAAGTTTGCATGCTTTTTACAGCTCGGGGTAACGTTTAAGGCGGCACGACTGAGCTTGCATGAAAATAACTGCCGGTGTCCTGACTCAAGCAGAGGGGAGTGGCCCTACAAAGTAGGCTCTGAGTCGACAAGGATGGTGTGCTAGGGTGCCAAAAACCCTTATCAGGACTAGCTACCCTTTCATATTGTTGGTTACTGTACATTTAGGTTCTCATTAATCGCCAAACAGTGACCTACTTCTGGCTCAAAATATATTTGGCTAATACTCCGTGAATATTGCAAGGAGGCGCTTTGTGCTTCAAAATTAACTCTTTTTGGGCATGACTGGTGACATGTCCGGGGTCCGTACTCGACAGCGAAAGCTGCATTTTGTGCCTGAAAGGGCGGATGGACCTTCATGTAGCATAAACTACATACATACACATACAAGCTACGCATCTTGTGTTTGTGCAATTATTCATCTGTGTATTGCTTGTGGATTAATTAAGCATTTGTAGAGTTATTGCCCTTGACTAAGTAGGAAATTTTCAATTTTTAATTTCTAAATTTTTAATAGTCAAGATGTACACCTGGTATATTGCGTTTGTGGATTTATTCAGTTTTGTTAGAGTTACGCACTTGACATGTATTAACTGTCAAAATTGCAAGCGTAGTTCAAAATGTATTTGACCTGGACGCATGAAACATTAGAGGTATGCTTGGAAGCATGTTAAGGTTTTCATCTTAAGGGTTTGCTTGTATATTTGTTACGATTTGTATAGTTATTGCCCTTAACTTAGTAAAAACCGTTCCGAAATATTGTGTTATGTGAATGATGGGCTTCCATTGTCAAAATTCAAGAATTGTAAACTTTCTTAAGTGTTTCTTTTGAAACTACTTTAGGAAATGCGAATGTGTATGCCTGTAGCAATATTTACTACGCTGGAATTAAAATTACTTTTTTTCTTCCTTTACACTTTTATTTCTTTTATTTTTTAACATAATAATCCTTTACTTTTAACGAACTAAAATGAACTAACAGAAACAAGATAACAATTCCTTTTGTATACCACGTATTGCACTTAAAATCACTAAAAAATCATTTAAATATAATTAAACATAAACCCGCCGGTGACAAACCCGGCGGTTACAACAAATACCCGGAGGTCACAATTTTAATGCCAAGCCGGCGGATAATAACAAAACAAACAATTCTATTATCGCGTTCATCGCGACACTCCCGGCCAAAGTTTATTGTTAATCAAAATCATCATTATGATAGTATTCTTGATCGGCACTCATGTGTGTCACAATTTCATTTTGTCCAATGTATGACGTCGTCTTTGTAAATGTTAATTTCAAAGTTTGAGTCCTTGTTGTAGCCTTTGACGGCACTACATCTGTGCATTCGTTGTCAATGTTTCCATGTGCAGACATCACTGCTTAAAACCACTACATCATCCTCAACACTTATATCACTATACTGGTAATCACAAACATCAATTTCATAGTCGTTGTTGTTTTCGTCTTTTGAACTTACGTCATTTATATCATATGTAGCACTCACGTTATCACGAATAAAATCATGATCACTTTCTTCACTTCTTTGCTGCGTATTAATGTAATCACTTTCCTGTTCACAATCATTATAGTCAAGTTCGCCGCCGTTGTCATCTTCTACCAAGCTATTATCATTTGTTTCATCTCGTTTCTTATTTTCCATATCATTTACGTTTATTTCACATTCTCTCTCATCGTAATCTTCTGCTTGCATTTAATTTTCTTCATTAGGTATTCCACACTCTTTGTGTTTTTCTTCATCTTCATTATTACTGGTTAAATGTCCCTCATTTTGCAGAAGAGTCAGGTCAAAATCCAATATTGTGTTAGCAAACTGTATTTCATCTTGATTTCCATCTCTTTCTGCTAACAAACTAAAGATAATTTTATCTTCGCTCACGTCTAAATAATATTCACTCTCCTTTAAAACTCCTCTATTTGCACGTAATGCTGCATCCCTTGCCAAGTCTGCTCCATATTTATGCTTTAAAATCAAATGTTTGCTGAGGTAACTTCTTCTAATAAATCTTGACGAACAATCTTTTTCTACACAGTTCCAATATTCTAAGATTGTATGCTTTTCTTTGATATGCCTTTTCAAATTTCTTATATTTTTATAACTTTTATTGCAGGTATCGCAATATCACAAAGGCATTTTTTTCTTTTTTTTACTTCCTTTTTGGTCAATTGACACAAGCATAATGATTCAGTTCTTATTGAATTATGCTTATAAAATGTCGTGCAAATCTTTCAAATTTACTACTTCGCCGCATGAACACATCTGCGGATGTTTCTAAATTCAAAATTTTACTATTTCACGTTAAAATGTTGAATTCTGCTTAAGCCAGTGCTAGGGGGCGTGGACGGTAACTTGCAATTGCCAGTACCGTCCATGAACAGGCTCAATCAAACCGAGCCTGCAACATTTTCAATTTTGCCGTGTCGGGCTTTCTTTAGGGATTCTGTATTTATCTATTTCACGTGAATTTCATGTTGTAGTTTTCACTCTAATACAATGCTCCGCCGTCAAAAAATTTGCACGTGAATTTCATGGCTAATGTTTTATCGACAATTCTAACACGACCCGCATTTTTTCCTATTGAACATAGAAGAACCGAAAGTGTGTGTTATTATGCTATAAAATCACTGTTTGACTTTCTATATTTAGACACGCGACGTAACCACTAAAAATGTGACGCGCTGACAATAAGTACGGAAACAAATCATTCGCCATTTAGCTAATTATCATGTACGGCAGCTTTTGTTTGTTGATGTCGTGTTAGAATCGAAATAATATATCCAAATCGGTGATTTTATTGCTTGATAACATCACTGTTTGTCGTTCGGATGCGCATCATTATATCACTCGGGCTACGCCCTCGTGATATAATTCCCCGCATCCGAACTCCAAACAGTGATGTTATTGAGCAATAAAATCACAGTTTGGGATATATTATTTCTTAAGTATGCTTCGCCGAGATATACGTTTTTTACATTACACATGACATTTTTTAAACGACTCTTAATCGTAAGCAATTTAATTGCTTTTTGATCAAGATTTTAGCAATTTCTGCTGCTTTGCGGGGCGGGCGAGATATTTGCTCGTATTTATCTATTTTATCATTTTCAGTACTTTGAGTTAATGTATGATTGATAGTTGAGGACATTTCAAAAGCAAATAATAGTTTGAGTGGACGTTTAAGCACTTTTACCGATGGTACCATTGCTGAGCGTACATTTCCGTCCTGACTTGGGATGACTTGGGATTAAATCAACGTATTTCAAGCTTTTACTTTCGCAAGGCAATATGAGTAGTTTTCGTATAAATCTAGCAGCTAGTGTTGTCACTCTTAACAGTTTTGTAAGTGAAGAAAACTTTGCAATGTCAATTTCAAAAGGTTACGAAAAAACACCTAAGTCATTTTTTTCCTTTTCAGAACAGTCATAACTTTTTCAGAATTGTCGTTTTCATAGTAATCACAAATATCACTATCATTGTTAAAACTTATCCACATGTCTTCTGGCTCTTGTAACCATAATGGACCATGCCATCACAGTTCGCAATCGCTAATTGTTTTTACCGAACAGCCTATTGATGCTATATCTGCTGGGTTTTAGTTGCCTAACAAATTTTATACCTTCGTCTGATTTTATCTCACTAATTCTGTTTTTTACAAACACTGGTAATTCTTTCTTTCTTTGGATCCAGTGAAGAACACGCTTAGAATCTTTCCATAAGTATTTTTCTTTGATGTTTAACTGTAGCTGATTACTCACGAATTTCAAACAGCGTACTCCTATCAAAACTGCCATTAATTCTAACCTTGGGATAGTTTTTTCTTTCAAAGGCGCAAGCCTACTTTTAGCAAACACTAAATCAACTTTTGTTTCTAATTTGCTTTTCTGATGTAAATAATTGCTGTAGCATATGCTTTTGCCGTATCATCACAAAACACAACAATCTGTATTCGGTATCTTCGTCGTATTTCTGCAGTGAAACGGATCGAGGTATTTTAAAATCAGAAATCGATTTTATATCACTTTTCACATTTGACTAAAATGTCA